GGAGGTGGATATGTCGCTTAGCTTGATCTTGGTATTCACCCTCGGCAGCACGCAGCCCTTGGGCATTCCAAAGGTGAGGAGAGCAGCAAAATAGTTGTAGGCTACAGCTTGGAAGGTTTTTGTTGGTATTCGACTCTTCCAACGCATTAAACAATTCAACGAGAACTTGGAATCAATTTGATGCAAACAACATCGTGGATGACCTAATGCAGCAAGCAATTAGCTACTAGTAGAATATACCCCATATGCAACAAGAATACAAAGTGAAGTCCATTACGCGGTTCAACGAGACAAACCATGCATTCACGGGTGCATGCTCATCCAAATCCAAGGAAAACACCACCACAACGCGAATGCATGATCCTGACGCGCCAGCTCGGAAAATCACATGCTGTCTCTTCACGGACGTGTAGACTCCCATTTGCCGAGGTCGAAGGGTAGCTACAAATACGCCTCTCCATGCGGTCACACTGGTGCATCGGAGTTCAAGCGCGAGCACGAAAGCACACGCAGTCGCTAACACTTGCTCTCCACTGATATCGATCGATGGCCATGGTAGCGAGAGCCGCGCTGCTCCTGGCCATGGTGGTCGTGGCAAGCGCCACCTACTGCCCCCCGCCGCCGGCGCCGGTGCCGGTGCCCCGCTACGGGTCGTGCCCCCAGAACGCGCTCAAGCTGCACGTCTGTGCCAACGTGCTGAACCTGGTGAAGGCCAAGATCGGCGTGCCGCCAGCGGAGCCCTGCTGCTCGCTCCTCGACGGGCTTGTCAACCTGGACGCCGCCGTCTGCCTTTGCACCGCCATCAAGGCCAACGTGCTGGGAATCCACCTCAACGTCCCCATCGACCTTAGCCTCATCCTGAACAACTGCGGCAAGATCTGCCCGGCCGACTTCCAGTGCATCCACTAGGAAAGCTAGAAGTGCACAGTACTATCCATCGAGTGGGGTGTGTGGTTTGCTTTGGTTTCAAGCTTTTTGCTTTATTTATTTCTTAAATCTATGCTGGCAATCTGGCCTAGTATGTATGTTCTCGCTTTCACACGAGAGGTAGCATTATGATCCTTTGGAATTTAATTGAAGTAGTGATTTCATGAGATTGGAGCGCATTCTTACAGTATCTCCAACAGTCGTGCAACACGCGCATCACGCTAAAAAAACATTTACAACATCGTAGTCGTGAGTTTCCGCGCGGCGAGGAGCGCTTGCTACAGCGACCGCCGCAAAGTATAGCGCGCGCGAGTCGCTCGAGCAGCCGCTGCAAAAAGACTGCACGCTCTAGCACAAATAACATATACGCTTCAAACACAACCAAGAAAATCAAACACAAACAAAGTAAATCAACAATAAATAGTTCAATTTTATTATTACAACTCAAATAAATAGTTTATCTTGCAATACAACATATAGTTCAACAATACAATATCAACCATACAAATCAAGATGCTCTTTGTTGGCCATTTCATGCCCACCGCTCCTTGATGAGATTCTTCTGAAAACCATTATGTGTTTCGGCACGTCGAATGGCATTGATAGGATGCAACAAATCGGGCCACCCTCGCAGCCCTCCGCCGCACTCGCACGGGATGTCCCAAGAGCTCGTACTGAGAGTAGTCTAAATCTTGGCCACGCTCATTCTTGATGATCATGTTGTGCATGATCACACAAGCATGCATGATGTACCAAAGCATCTTTTGATCCCAAAATATAGCCGGTCCTCTCACAATGGCAAATTGGGCTTGCAAAATCCCAAAAGCTCTCTCCACATCTTTACTAGCCACCGCCTGAGCATTGTGGAAATCAAGATTTTTCTTACCTTCCGGTTTTTTCAACGGCTTCACAAATGTTTGCCACTTTGGGTAGATGCCATCCGCAAGATAGTAGCCATAGTTGTATGTATGACCATTTGCTACAAACTGCACCGATGGCAGTTCACCATTTGCTATCTTATTCATGAGTGGTGACCGATTAACAACGTTGATGTCATTCAAAGACCCAGGCATTCCAAAAAAAAGCATGCCAAATCCAAGTCACTTGATCGGCCACTGCTTGAAGGATTATAGTGGAGCCCTTTTTTGACCGTGGAATTGTCCTTGCCATGCCTTAGGACAGTTCTTCCAATTCAAATGCATGCAATCTATTGAGCCAAGCATACCTGGGAACCCGCAAGTTTTGTTCATCTTCAAAAGCCTTGTAGCGTCTTCATCATTGGGAGATCCCAAATACTCCTGGCCAAACACTTGCACAATTCCGACTGTGAAGCGCTAGACACACATGATGCCCTGGCTCTCACCCATGGCCAAGTGGTCATCAACTACATCAGCCGGAATACCGTATGCCAACATACGCAAAGCAGCTGTCACCTTCTGAAAGGTGCTATGCCCGAGCTCTCCGGCGGCATTCCTCCTTTGCTGAAAAAACCGATCATGGCTCGCCAGTTTCTCTGCAATGCGCCTGAAAAACTCGGTGCTCATCCTAAACCGGCGCCGGAAGTACGACTCAGGGTACACGGGATTATCCACAAAATAGTGCCTCATCAATCTGTTGTCGGCATCGATCTTATCCCTCCAAATTTTGTGCCCACCCATAATCGAACCACCGTGCTTCGGTTTTTTATTGATGTGCATGGCTAGGATCATTGCAAGATCCTCCTCTTCAATATCAAATTCTTCTTCGGAAGAATCATATGATGAACTCATCTAGAATGTTCAATTTAATCTAGGCTATAAAAACTACAAACAACATGCACCAAATTCATGTAAAAATGTGAAGTTGAAGCAATACATACCTTGCAAGCGTTTTGTTGAACACCTTGTGGACGCCGAGCAGCAGTGGGCGGCCAGGTGCTATTCATCGGAGGAATGGCGCGCGCAAGGGGCGGTGGAGACTGGAGGGAGAGGGAGGAAGCAGCGGCGACACGGGGATAGGCCGGAGAAGCGCCAGAATGGTCGCCGGAACAAATAGGGTGGTGCGAGCGGTGGCGCTAGCGCCTGGGTTGGGGTAGGTGGAAGTCGCAAGTGGGCGCTTGAGTGTGCAGTGCGCGGGAGCAGGCGCAACAAATAAACGGCGGGCGATGGCGTTTCGGACCGCGCACGTGGTTTTTGTGCCTCCGATGGAGCTCCAGGAGCGGTTGCGCGCGCGCAAAAAACCCAAAATTTCCAGCGCGTCGTTTATTTAGCGTGGCTGTTGGAGATGCTATTACAACATCTTAATTTGTTACTTGTACAAGACTCGCAGGCCATGTGCACCAAGGAGAAAATATGACGACATGATAGTCAACCCTAGATAGCCGACGGCCGCGGCGGTGCGATTTTCAGGCCGGCGACCGCCCTGACCTCTAGGGACGTTCCCGTTGGTGTTGGCCTACGACACGACACCGAGAGAACCAGTCCCCAGACCGCCGGAGCGCTGAGGTCTTGCAACTGTGTTGCTTTCGGTCCCCGTATCTATCTCTGATTCAAGCACACGGCCAGCTCGGATTCTTCGGAGATTAGGTCAAATAAGCCCCTGTTAGATCGATTGTAGACTACACCTATTTCAGATATGTCTTATTGTGTTGCCCTAAACCTCGACTACGACCAAAATTGAGCCTTTAGACGAACACTAGACCCCTACGATGAATCAGAAAAACAACTCCGAGGAGAAGATCTTGGGAGGAGGGATGTCCAAGCATCGGTAGGAACAGGTAAACTACATGGACCGCGCTGGCAAGAAGTTGCGGCCTGTGCAGAGGCAGAAGCACCTCTATCTGGTGCTATATGACTAGACGAAGGGCTTTTCCATCCGCATGATTGACATCAACACCTAGGACGGCAACTTCAACCTGGACTTGGAGCCCCCAGTTCTCCAGCTAGTGTCACCTGCACCTAGTTATCCCATGAACTTCGCTGCCCTGGGCAACAATATCTTCATGGCGGGAAACAAACACCCTGGCACCATGGTCTACGACACAGAGACAGCTGGACTGGCCATCGGCCCTCCTCTCCCGGATGGACTGCTCGACGGCATCAAAATCTTTGTGGCTACTACCAACATGCAACTGTATGCACTGAGGTATAACATCAAGGAAATGAAGGAAATATGCCCTAAAGGCAATAATAAAGTTTATTTTATATTTCCTTATATCATGATAAATGTTTATTATTCATGATAGAATTGTATTAACCAGAAACTTGATACATGTGTGGACACATAGACAAAACACCATGTCCCTAGTAAGCCTCTACTAGACTAGCTCGTTAATCAAAGATGGTTAAGTTTCCTAACCATAGACATGTGTTGTCATTTGATTAATGAGATCACATCATTAGGAGAATGATGTGATGGACAAGACCCATCCATTAGCTTAGCATATTGATCGTTCAGTTTTACTGCTATTGCTTTCTTCATGTCAAATATACATATTCCTTCGGTTACGAGATTATCACTACAAAAAAAGACACTTTCGTGATGATACGTGTTTTTCACAGTAGGTCACGTTTTCTGTCATGCATGTACATCCATGACAATTTTATGACAGAATCAAGATAGTCATACCTGTGCTGTCGTAGAAGTGTTCCATGACATTACCAAAATTATCATCACGGAAGTGTCCACTTCCATGATGATAAATCGCGCGTCATAGAAGTGCTTTCGTCAAGGGTGACCCACACGTGGCATCCACCGTAACGGGTCGCCCTTACGCTATCGGGTCCGGTTTTGGATCCGGTAACCCGTTAACAGCCCGGACCAATGAGGATTTTCCACGTGTAAAATTGTCATTGGCCAGAGGAAACACGTGTTGGCTCACTGTTGGGATAGATGTCATCCATTCATTGGACAAGAGGCGCCTATGATACGTCGACACGTGGCACGGCCCAACAGAGGCCCATTCCAATGAAAAGGTCGACCCGTTTGACTTGGTCAAATGGTAGCGGGCCGGCCCATGGAAAGCATGTTAACGGTCTGTTCGTATATAGCCCATTTATGCCCGCTAACTCACGGCCCGTTACGGCCTATCGGAATTAAGCCAAGTAGCTTCATCTGGGCCGTCCAATATGATTCCAGCCCATTGTAACTTTCGGCCCATGTACGACCCATGATATCTTTCGGCCCATACGAGGCCATTTGTAACTCCTGGCCCATTAACGGCCCGTGCTGAATCTGGCCCGCAATGAACAGTGTACCGCTTTATACCCATTAATGTCCCATTATTCCATTGGGCCGTTTCCAACCTGTGTTATCTTTCGGCCTTCTTAGGGCCCATTTATTCTTGGGCTTATTTCCAGCATTCGGTTACTTACGGCCCTTAACTGGCCTTTTCTGCTTGTGGGCCAAATTCAGCCCGTGGTTACAATTGGTCTGTTTGCGTCCCGTTAATCCTTTGGTCCGTTTTTATAACATCATCAAATACGACTGATTAACGACGGCCCATTATGGTCAGCCCATGAACAGACAATTTCAAATCTAGCCCGTTTACGACCCATTATGCGATCTGTTATTGGCCCATGTTTGGCCGATCTATCATACGGCCCATAGAAGGCACATTGTTTCTACACCCCTTAGAAGGCCCATTGTTTTCTATGGCCCGTAGGAGGCCCATGGTATATATAGTAAATATGTAGCCCATGGTTATTGTGGCCTAGTTTTAAAAAATAGGTTATTGCGACCACTAGCAAACCGCAGAAAAAGAGCTGCACTGACTACAAGCAAACAAATAAACAAGACAACAAGGAAATAAATAAGCAAGCAACTTACACTAGGCTATCACGGCTATTACATATATTACATCCACTGAGCATCAAAGTTCGCCACCAGTGCAAATATAGGGAACAAAGCCACATATCATATACACTGGTTATCGAAGTTGGCGACCAGTGCAAATAAACGCCGCAGCAAAACAAGTCCAGAACTAAAACCACTTCAGAAGAGGT